CCAAGGGGATAGTTTCTGCCAGAGTTCAGAAAATGAAGGAAGGTGAAAATATCCTAATTTCATCTGTCATTCAATCTCTGCTCCTTGATTTAAAGTCTAACGGTTAGATATCTATATGACACCTTCCTGCTGTGATCCTGCTGCAGCTCTGTAGCAACTAACATATTGCTTATAAAGAGAGGTGGATGGATGGAACTGCCTCCATGCCTTATCTGCAGAACATAAACTACCCTGCTCATACTGCAAGCTTGACAAAGCCTAATAAAACTCAGTCCTCATTTTATTCAATGCATATTACTTATGCTGCATTAGAAGGCTGTACATTCAACATGGTACTAAAAAAAATACCTGTCTTATGCTTTTCTATGAGATTAAGTGGCTCCTTTGCTTCATTTCTGGTTTATAAATTGTCACCTCTGTGTACAGATGCACTGACCTGCTGATGCCAAACAGGCTCTGCATCAGCAGCAATGGACTCATCCAGATGAATGCCTGTTTCGTTGACTGAGGACACCAACCAAAATAAATGAAATGTTAACTATCAGAGCTAAAACTAAAGAAGCAAAGCCTGACAAACGATTATTTGTGTTTCTGCAGAAACTTACGATTTTTAAATGACTAAATATTACAAACTATGATGGTTTTATCTGACTAGAATGTAGTAAAAAAAACAAAATTTATCTAAGTTTCTCCCCATGTTTATCGTTGTGTTCTCTTAAAACTCTGCAGTCAGTGTTTTTGCTGCTTCATCACTAAATCTGCCCGAGGGAATCAATAACAACTTGGACATTTTTCACGCTCAGATCTTTAATATTTTTCTATCTTAATAACTAAAGGAGAGCTTCACCTGCCGTTTTAAGCCAAATCTTTCAACTATAATCAATACCATGCTGACAAAGCCCTGTATGTCTCCTACTCAGTCCAACCATTTCTGTCTCCCCGTCAATTATAAAACAACCTCATCGGGACTCTGTGAGGTGGTCTGGCAGCAGAAGGGGGATTTAATGGAAGAAAGCAGCCAGAGTCCATTTCTTAATGCGGCAGTGTCTTGCCAGAAACTCCAAAGGCTGTGTTCATTTCTTTAATTGAGTGCATCACCGCCAAGTTTAAAACAGTCACTCCATTTCCTGATGGAGCGACTGCAGACGACGCCTGCAGAAGCAGCCTGACAGCCACCTGCAGAGACTGTGCACTTTCAGTATCCTCAGCCTCCAGTGAGAAGTCCATATACACTGACTATGACTGAATGTCTTGGTTTCTGCCTTTGTTGGGTTAATTAAGCTGTTTTTTTTTTTTTTTACATAAACTGCTATTGTTTTGAAAAAAAGTACTGGGTAGCAGGTTTGAAATAACAGCGCTGAAGTTTTAACAAACAGGCTCAGATAGGTAAAAAAATTCACTAGTATTTAGTGAATTTTTTTTTATTTTTTTAGCTAGGATACTTTAATCTTAGAACCAACTACTCTTCTTTTAATTCCACTCAAAATTTACCTCACTTTAATTTAACCAGCCTGGTTTCCTGCCATGGAGGGCAGTTGAGAACAGAGCTTTGGGTAGGCTTGGTATAAGCTTGATTTATCTGTTTCAGAACCACTTCTGATTTGGATCATTGTCCAGATCTTTTTAACCATGCTGTTTGAGGTAAAGTTGAAAGAGCTAGGAGATGGCTCCACCTGTATTTTTTTTTCTCCATCCCTGCAAGAGGGACCAGTGTGATTTCACAGATATTTATTTCCTACAGGAAGGACATGTGACATAATAAATATCAGTTCCTGCAAAAGGAACTGCTGTGACACCATAAAGATTTTGTTCATACAGGAAGGATTGGTCTAATTTCAATATCAGTAAAAGTGGTATGACATTTTTATTTCCTGTAGAAAGGACTTGTGTGTTACATCATAAATATTTAGTTCCTAAAGCAATTAGTGGTGTAAGATCCCTGATTTCAGTTCCTAGAGAAGGAACTGATGTGATATTATACATAAAAATTACTGCAAAAGTGACTTGTGTGAAAACATAGAGTTTAATTTACTAAAGAAATGTGACAAATGTGAGTCTGGTGTGGCGTCATATATATTTAATTCCTACTGAAGGGATGTTGTGACATCCTTGATTTAGCTCAGTAATATTTAGTTCCTGCAATAAGAACCAGTATCTCACTGGTAATTATTGCTGCAGTGGGTTTATAGATTTCAGGACTGTTGTGATGTCATATATATTGTGTTTCTGCAAACAGTACTGGTTTGTGATTATACATAGTGAGTTCCCACAGGTAGAGAACAGTTCCACATCATGTATATTTAGTTCCTGCTAGATGAACTGATACGACATCATTGATATTGAGTTTCCTTAAAAGAGAGTGTAGTGACATCATAGTTATCAGTTTTTGCTGCATGCTGGTGTTACATTAAAAACATTTTTACAGGAGGGACTGCTGCGATATCAGAGGGGAACTGGTGTGAAAGCATAGATATCTGTTTCCTGTAGGTGAACCTAGTGTGACATAAAATTTGTTTAGTTACATCAGGATGGTTAGCTGTGATATCATAGATTCCAGATTATGCAGATGTGACTGGTCTGACATCACACAAATATAGTTACAGAATTAGAGATTAGTGTGAATTCAAACAATTCAGTTCCAGCAGGGGACACCAGTGTTGTTGGCATTTAGTTCCCAGCCCTCATGTGTCAAAAAAGACATATTATATATCAAGGTAGAGCCATTTGAACTTTTAGTGTCTAAAATGAAAGAACAAATTGCAACAACAAAAAAAATAATAAACTAATGGATGTATATTTATGATATCAGAGCAATGTGCTCTTTATAAAAAAGAAAAAGTACTTCTAAATGGATAATTCATACAGCTGCAGTCAGTCCTGTTACAGACTTGATGACGCAGAAGTGGCCCAATATTAAAGCCAGTTTGCCATCCCTGTGTTAAGATGGCTTAAGGCTTTTGCTTTTCATGTAGGAAACATCTGGTTTCAGATCAGCTTGAATTTACCAGCTTTAGACCAGGTTCTTCTTCTTGGTCAATCCAAATAATCCCAGCCAATCTCTTTTAAGCTAAGACTTGCAGTTTTGCTCTTCTTCCTGACCAGCCCAGTTCTAGAAGAAGTTATTGAAGGTATTCATAAAACAGGTATAACCTCTGAGGAAAACTAGTTAATTGTTGTATAATCATTCAAGTCGATAAAGAGGAAGTTATTAAAAAACATATAAATTAGAAATAAATGTGTCTTCTCAGTTTTTTTCACACCACAGAAATATGTCTTATTAATCGCCAATCTGAAATTTTAAACAAAACACAACTTAGCATTTAAAATTAGGTCTCAGAAGTCAGGAAAGCATCCGTTTTTTCTGCCCTGAGACAATGGGGTATGTTACCATTTCACCGGTAAAATGTTTTAATGAAAAAAAAAAAAGCTTAATATTATATTTAGATTATGTGACTCATGTTCAATGGGGAACAGAGGATGTTGCTCTGCTTTCTGACTGCAGATATAGGCTGCAGCTGCTGCGTCTGACTTCCTGTGTTTTTGAAGAGGTGGGGCTCGCTCACTAACTGTAAACTCAAAGCAATCGGTACTCTATGTATTGGCACCAAAGTCTCCAAAAAGACCGGAAAAGGTGCTAGATCTGTTGCTAGTTGGTGGGGATCTGAAAATATGCTAAATTTAGGACCTGAGTTGGCAACAAAGCATAAGTGTCGTATTCTTTTTTAGGGATCTGACCCACATGCAGAAATCCACTCAGAGAACCAGAGAAAAAGTTTAACAGGTTTGTTGAAAGCACGATGAGTTGGATCCAGTGTTACTCAGAATGCTGGTGAACCGGAACTGGAAGTGAGAAGGGAAGTTCAGAGTTTAGTTCAGGCTCAGTGGGAAACTTGAGTGACGACTTGCAAAAACAAAGACTGAAATGGGACTCACGTTTCCAGGGAAAAGGTGTCCTTCCCAGACTCCAGTCGGTGTGGGTTTTTCCAGAACTTGGTTGACTCGTTGGAGGACAGACAGGGTTTTCTCAGGTTAGGTTGGTTCCTTGAGGAGCGATGGAGCTGACTGCCACTTAAATTTCCTGAAGTACTTGAACGGTTCGTGTGGAGATTAATCCCCTGCTCAGTATGAAGCTCAAACAATCCTTTCAGGGTGAGAAGGTCCAAACATCCAGTTTGCATCCCCTGCTCAGTGTGAAGCTCAAACGATCCTTCCAGGGAGAGAAGGCCAAAACATCCAGTTAACAGGATGATTTTCTGCCGAGAGGCAAAGACAAAAACAACAAGGTTAGGGCTCAGGGAGACAAAGACTCAGTTAGACTCTGCTAAACTCAGCTTGGCTAGATTACCCAAAACAGGCAAACATTCTGGCTTCAAGGTAGTGGCAGTCAGCAGCTTAAGAGTCCTCAGATAATGAGGCAACCATCCGCAGGTGTGTGGAAGGGCCAACGAGAACCGGGCGCCACCTGGTGGTGGAGGGAGAAAACACAAACACACAACCCACACAAACTAGATGCTTAACAATAAGTGGCTTTGCTCTTCGTTTTTATACTGGTGGGCCACCAGGTGGCGGGGTAGCCACATAACGACGTGAAACAACACTTTTAAACACCAAAAAATCCTTAAACACAGGAATGTTGAAACCAAAATTTAATTATAAAAGGTTATTAGACTTGTTATCCATATAGAACAGCACATTTATTACATGTATAATGTCTTTAGAAGAAAAGTGGTGAATTCTCTTTACAGTTTCTTTAAAAGCGCCAGAAAAAGATGCCCTTCAACCTGAAGAGTCAATGTAAACATCTGACTTTAACCACAAAAGAATGTCCATAAACAGTCTTTCATTTTCATGCTGGCTTTAATGCTTCATCGAATCTTCATAAAAGTTAGCCTTCAGTATCCGAAGTAATAACCTGCTGGATAAATCTGTCTCTTTTTTCTAGCAAACTGCATCTACAGAACAAATATCTGACTGCTGCCATGTCTCTTGTGTCTTCACAGACCCTGGTTCTGGTTCAGGAGACGGAGACGGTAAGTCTGTGCCCTTTTTTTCTTTCCTGAGGGCTATTTAAAGATTTCATTTCCTGTTTCACTTCTGTTGTGACTGAAAGTCAAACAGAAATCAATTACAGCAGAGTCTTCATGTGCTCTGCACAAACAGTTGCTCCTGCCTCCTGGAATTTGTTCTGATATGAAGAGTGGAGAGATCATCCGTGTGTGAGGCAAAGTATTTGTTACATTGTGGGGACAATTTTCCAGGGATGTGCCACTTTGTGGGGGACTTACTGTACATGTACTTACAGATCCCCATCAGAAGAAGTTCTCTTCTTGGTTTTGGGGTTACTGTATGTGAAGAACCGAGGTGTGAATTGAGTTCAGGTTTGGGTTACGTTATGGTACATGTTCTAATTAGAGTTAGGCCATAGAAAGGAATTCAAAATGAATGGAAGTCAATAAAAAGTGCCTGGAAGGATAGTAGGACACACATATTTATAATGGTGTGTTTCTGGGCCTTCACTCCTCCTTTGAAGTATCTTAAGTTCTGTAATAAAGCCTGTAGGGAGACATTAAGCTTTCCTCAAGGAGCCGGCTGAATCCCTCAGTCCTGTGGGAGCAGAGCTGGAAGCATCATTGATGCCAAGGACATTTTGCAGGCACCTGTGAGGACGACCACACAGCCTGTTGTTTCATTTGGCAGCTGCAGAGAGGTTTTATTGGAGATGCCTGTAAGAAAGATGGTACCCCCACCATCTGCACGGCGGGCAGTTTCGACAGGCTGCTGCTGATGAAACAGTCAAACCTCTGAGATTAATTACTGAAGCTGCCTCCAACTCTGCTGTTTGTTCTATTAATCCAGTCAGAGATTTACCTGCTAAATGGTTTTTAAAATCAGAAGATTAAACATGAGCTCAATGAGGCCTGATTTCAGGACTTTAAAACATTCTCAAAAACTTTTAAAGTTAATTTTACCGTAATTTGTTCTTCTTTAAGTCACAGCTTTAGGAGGAAATGGGTTTTTAAATGACCTCTCTTGATATAAATATTGTATATCACACAGAGCAGTACAGTTAGAAAAACAAGGAAAGAAACACCTCAACATTTTTTCTGTTTACATATTTTTGATGGGCCTCTAAACGTGACATTTATACTTAATGTTGAGAAAAACCTATTCTGCATGTTCAATACAGGACAACACTGCATGTAACATTTTCTATTTCTCTGTCATGTTAGGATTAATTTAGAAAAGACAGGCTTCATAAACACTTAAGACATATTTGTTGATTTCATATTTATTTCAATGTTAAAAAGAAAAAAGAACAAATTATACTGTCAGGATGTCAGGAATACTTGTTGTGGACCCATATGCAGAGCTGAAGAGGCAGAGATGATTCCTTGAAAATTTTTACAAAGAAGTCAAAATACAGAAGCCCTAATCCAGAAACGATTGATAAGAACCTTAGAAACCAATAACTAGGAGACACTCTCGAGGAATAAACCCACAGAATGGAGAAATGCGAAGAATCCAGCAAAAAAACTAACTGCAGAGGAGGAGTATATATGCTAAACAGAACAATGAATGGAGTAATCAACTGATTGGGGGCAGGTGTGGACAGAAGAATCTAGAAGGGGGCTATGGGAAGGAGACTGGCACAAGGGGGCAGCAGAGAATAAACAACAAATACAACTAGAATGACACAAAATGGAAATGAAACAAAGACCTAAAACACATTATGACATAATTATATAGGTGTAACTATATAGGTGTAACAAAAAGAAAACTTAAACAGCACCAAAAAAGGCCAGAAATGGCAGAATCATGGCAGATGCCTTAAAACCTCCTTAATATTGTTGTGTGCTTCCCAAAAAAAATATCTAAAACAAAAACATCACAACTGCAAAGAACTGCTTGGATGTTGTACCAGCTAGCCTCATTTTCACTCCCTGCTGCTAATAATACATCTGCTTTGCTGTTGACTGGTCAAAGGTTTTTTCATCTTCTGTCTCTAAAGTGCTTCACCCTTTTCTCATAGCAAACTCATATATATGTATTTAAAGGAAACAATGATAAAATACTTTTGAAATAAATGCCACACTGCTGAAATGAGCGGTTGTTGAAATATGTTTAAAACCTCCTTAAAGAAGCCGTATTTTGGTATTTCGTTGCAATCTTTTATGACCTTGACAGTAAACCTCAGCTTATAAACTGACTTTGACTTCATGCTGCAGTGAAAAATCGGACGTTCCCATTGATCATTTTCAATCTCTATCAGAGAGAGATGAAACCGAGTCAGAAGAAGAATGTCATCTGTCGTAGCAGAGCACACGTTTAGTGCACATTATGTATGTGTTTTAGCAGCCAGCAGAGCTGACAGTGCCACACAGCGTAAAAAAAATCACAGGAGAAATAGAGCAGCAGACATGATGGATGGTTTTAAGACTTGAAAACAATACCTGGTTTGTAATTTATTTCCACTACACCTGCATGGATGCATTTATTCTATTAATACCATACGCACTTAAGTTTTAGATTCCGAATATGTTCTTATTAATATAGTTTATAGTCAGTGACACATGACTATATTTATTGATGATGCACATTTAGAACCTATTTCTTATTACGGTCATTTGTATTAGGATTTTACATAATTTTTTAGTAACGACCTTTAATGTTTCAAGGATGTATTGTTACCTGCTGAACCTGATCCCTTTTTTGAGCCTTTCCTTTTTTACATTACATCCACAAAAATGCAGGGAAATAACATCTCCCCTCAAGGTCCTTCTTGAGGGAAGATGCTATTTATACGCATAATTCTCCAGTAAATTCTTTAGTAAATTGTTTAGGCGGTTTGCCTAAAGGTCAATGTTTAACAGCAAACTGCAGTTGCTCAGATGTCCCCAGCTCTAAGCTACCCTGTCAGTTTTAGAGTTCTGTTCCAGACAGCGCTAATCCTAATGGCAACTGTCGGAGTATTCCTGCAAACAAGCAGCAATGCAAAATTTTACCTACTGTTTTTGCACAACTATTCATAATTGATGCTGGTACCTTAAATCACCCTTTTAGCATCACTTATTGTCAACCTTTGACTGTCAAATATTAACAAAAAAAAAATTTTATTTTGTGTTACTGTTTTCTATTATCAGCATCTGGTTGTGATTGTCTGTGAATGACTGAATGTAGTGTAAAGCGCTTTGGTCAAGTCTCCTGACTTAAAAAAAGCGCCATATAAGTATAGGCCATTTACCATGTTATGTATTTAATCACAACTGATTGTAAAATAATGCCTAAAAATTCAAAGGTGATATGTTTTTCTTTAATTTTTTTTTTTTATGATGGAAAAGCATGTCACATGCGTTGCTGATCATGTGACCAAACTTATTCCTCTTCTCACTGAGACAAAAACCAATAGAATCTCAGCCTGACTTTCTAAGATTTTTACCTATCAGTCTTATTTGTGGAGGCAACAACCTATCCAAGATATAGTTTTTCTTTTTGTTTACACAACATGTTTATAGTGATTGGAAAGTATCCATAAAGGAAAAGTTAAACTGTAATATGTCCCCTATATAATTGAACTGGTTTGATTTTACCTTTAATGGGATTCCTAAGAAAAATCATCCATTGGATTCAGATCAAATAAACTCTGACATTTAAAAAAAAAGATACAGCAGCAAACCAATCAGTTGCTGGAGCTCTGAATAATTCATCCCCTGAATAACAAAGAAAACTGGCTGCTGATCCACTTCTGTCTGACGTTTAAATTACATTTAATTAATTCTGCCAGATGTTTCATTATTTTTATTAATATTCTATGTTCATATGTTCATCATTGTAATCCTCTAAAAATCTGAAATAAACCGGGCATGGTTCAGAGATGTGATGATGAAATGTCTCGGCCTGGTTCTGCTCCTTTGATGATGACACAATATATCTTTTCTGAGTTTAAATGTTAAAATCAGAGCATCAGAAACATCATAACTGCTCTCACCACCTCAAAGGATCATCTCTTTCTTCGTCCCTTAAGAGCGGCAAAAAAAACAATAGACCCCTTAAAGATAATCACACCGGAGTGAACCCCTCTGGCCTTGGCAGATGGCCACCAACGCTGATCGTGCCGGAAGTTTTTTCCTGTTAAAAGGGAGTTTTCCTTCCCACTATCACTGCAAGCATGCTTGGTGTGAGGGCTTGCTGTCAAGTTTATGAGTCTGTGCAATCAGCTGGTTTTCCTTGATGGGAAACTTTTAATCAATTTGACTGTATGATCTAGCTGAATGTTCTGTGTAATGTGCTTTGAGATGACATGTGTTGTGAACTGGCACTATAAAATAAACTGAATTAAATTTAAATAAAAAATGCCCATCCTTAAAAAGGATAGATCACCGATAATTTCTTTAATAATGTTTGTACACCCATAGCTTACCTTTAGTTCATTTCTGCCGACTTTTCAACTTCTGGAGCATGACATACCAGCAGCAGCCTTTTAAACCAGGGGTTTGAAGTAAACGGTCTAATAAACCAACTAGGTAAGTAAGTAGGGCTCGTTTATAAATTTACTTTTTGCAGATGAATAGGGACATGACTAGTCAGTTATAAAGTGGGGGGCTAACCACACAACCCACGGAAAGCTAGAAGTCTAAAACTGACCTGTTGGAACAAATAAAAACAGAATTGCAATAATCAATGTTAGACAAGATGAAGGCATGGATGACCATTTGAAGATCTGATTAATTTGACACAGTTCCTCTCACTTTAGAGATATTTCTAAGTCAATAACAAGTTTCGGTTAGCTGACATGGATTCCCCTTCAGGTTTCTGATAATTCAATTCACAGATGAGCCCAGAGAACCATGGTGTGCTTTAATCATCTGCATTATTTTATCTGGATCAGAGTTTCTGTTTTGTTTGCAGACAACCTGTTTCAAACTTTGAATCAATAAACCTACAATAAAGCTGAATGTCATTAGCAAAGAAAGGATATGACACATTTTTAAGACCATGAATCAGCTGACCAAGTGTCAATAGGTACAGCAAA